GTATAATGCAAAAATTAAAGGTAACAAAAAGTTTGTATCATCCACATACTATCGCTTAAATGTGAATATAACTGTTTTTTATCTCACACGTGAAGCATAGGCAATGCAATGAAGTTGTGAAGTGGTATTTGTGGAAAATAGTGACTAGGTTGTAGAAGGGAGGGGCCTTCATTTCGTATGAAAGTGCATGACGAAGAGATTCGTTGGTCAATCTCACCAGATGAGGATGGATAAATATCATTGTACTGCGGCCATTTGGATTTTATACGATATTCAATGAGATTCATCCGTCCTCATCTGATGAGATCGACCAACGAATCTCTTCTTCATGCACTTTCATGCGAAATGAAGGTCCCCCAAACAATGTTATCTCAGGAGATTTGTCGAAACCACGATTCTCTTCGTATCCATAGGTTGTAGAGGTTAGAAACTAAAGTACACAGTGAAAGAAGATCCCTTTTGGTACAAATAGTAGAGTAGAAATCCTACTTCCTAGCAAAATATTATGAAAAAATTGTGGGAGGTTTAACAATATGGTTTTGATCCTAAAAACAACGTTTGATGACTATTATGAAACTTTTATCTCTATAAAAAGATAAATGGAAAAAGGGAAAAAATAGGCTTACCGGCTCTACCGAATATGGCATGTACTCTGGATGTGCCTGTAACCAAGCCTCAAGAATGCGTCTACGAGGTGCTTTATCACCATGAATAAGAGAACCATCCAACAGGCTGATCACAGGAACACGCACTTCCCAGACTGCATCATCTCCAGATCCACTCCCAATGCTAGAGACAGAGCTAGAGCAGAGGGCATTGTTATTTTTTCCAGTGTTGGCATTTGAGGTCAAGGAATCAGCAGATCGTGTTCGTTTTTCTGGAGGCCCGGCAACACCTTCATGTATGGAGTCAGATTTGCTTTCTCTGGAGCTGGTGGTACTGCCGGCCGAAGAGGTGGCAATAGAAACGGATGCAGCATCAGATTCGATGCAAGTCGATTCACTAAAAAAAAGTGATGCCAGAAACGTACTTTGAAGAAAAGGACAAGATTAAAAATCTATTTTTATCAGCTGAAATAAGGACAAAAAAAGCAAAAAACAATGTCAGGTCAAAGCAACAAGTAAAGTAAGAAGTGGGTTGATATCTTTGTCGCAACTTGATCTTGTTATCGGGGAAACTTAGTAGAACGCAACTAGTCCGAAGTCGTCTGCCATAGTAGTTGCCATGATTCCCAGCATCAGACAGTGGACTCGGCACATTCTCAAACGTTTCGCCGGCATCGTAGTCAGCATCACCAGTGAGTTTTGCCATTCTATACAACAAGCTACGAACTCGCCAAAGAGACAAGTAAAGTCAATCCCTCGACAGATGTTCTGCCGAAAACGGTTATACTATCACTTCTCTTTCTGCCCTAGCCTATCTATCTAATATTTACCCTCTTATCAGACTGCCGCCCTATCACAACTTCTCACTTGTTTACATTCCACTCGCAAAATGTATGCTCTTTTGTGGCAAATCTAGTTTGGCCTCATCACACTTGCTATTTACCCCGAACCCTCTATTTTGATCGACTGATCCGACTCAGGCCTCCAATCTGAATCCCCTCATTGTCTAGAAGATCCGTTCCTTATCTTTCTGGTTCCAGTCAATGTGTGCATTTCAATCCAGGCTCTATTTCTCAAGACACTAGAAGGACGTACACTGCGGCTTCAATGAGCAAAGCGCCTAAGCTCTGATTCCCATGCTCGCAGATATCAGGCCTTTTCTTCATGGGTCATCTCCTTGATCCAGGCGTCTCCTTTTTGCTGGTCTTGCTCTATTCTTGTTTTCCCCGAGGTTGCTTAGGCAGTATACAAAGTTATCGCTAACTCTAACTTTCTCCAATCTCCTGTTCATTAGATTTTTCTCCCCAAGGATGTCAATGGCCTCCCTAATCTTCCGCTTCCTTGTGTTGTCATCTTATGGGGATCTTATTTCGTTTGCCTTCGAATTGATCTCGTCTCCAGTCTGTACGATGTGTTCCGCTAGTTCTGATCTTTTGGTATCTATTTTCCTGCAGATCCTCTAATTTTCCTTGATTCATGTGCTAATTTTTCTCGAAGGTTCGCCAATATATTTCTGTTCGCAGGCGCCGCATGATATACAGTAAGCTCCTGAACAATCAAATTTCTTTACCTTTTCATGTTGCGTCAGTAGACTTGTGAAAAGTTTTGATTTCCTTTCATGGCCACCCGAATATTCCATTTACTCAATATTGGCCGTAGTTTTTCAGTTAGTTCGTAGGAAGGTAGGCATATCCACTTTTGTGAATCCTTCATCGTCCTTACTGTTCTTTCATAGTCCCCATTCT